CTGGGCAGAAGAACAGAAGCGTTTACCCTCAGACCCTGTATTCCAAAGACACATATCATGTGCGATACGTGATGTGATTTTACACAAGGTTATTCACCGCGGAATGGTTTTTAAGAGCAGACTATTAGAAACAACCCAAATACCCACCATGGGGGGGCTGGTGACACACACCATGCCACATCTACACAATGGGATACACACATCAACGAAAAGGATGAGTTCCATGTCCCTAATGTCACCTTCAGGGAAAATTATGTGACAACAGCAAGATGCAGCGTAATTTACAAGCAGGGTTTAGGCACAAATTGATGCCTCTCTTTGCTGTTGGGTTCAGAGGACTCTATATCTCATTCTTATAGCCTGTGAAAATAATCTCTAACAATAGATTTATTAAAGCAAAATCCTGCTCCAGGAGACCTTTTCAGAAACAATTCACCCAAAGGAAATCAAATGCAGACGGCTCTCACGAGAGCTGCCTCTCAATACCGAAGATCTGGGCCACCAAGAAAGGGACGTCTTACCTGATGGTGAGCAGACCAGCCCCTTCAAACCTAGAAGGCTCTGCTCTGCCTGGGCCTGATGACGCAGGGCATCAGATGGATGAACCGGCTTCGAGCTCCTGAGCCCTGGGGACTCAGCCTCACTCTTCACGGACCAACAGTCCCCGGATCATGCTTCTTTCAGTGAAATGTGTCACGTCTTCCTGGGCCACGCCTACACAGGTGTCTGGACAAGGATTGGACCCAAGTCCCCCTCCCTCCCAAATCCCAGCTCCAGCTTCTAGGAGCTGCCTCTGGGGGTTCATTTCCCTGTGAGCCCCGAGGAACTCCCTGCCACCCACAGTCCCGGCCCAGCTGCTACCTTCTCCAGGGACCCTCAAGGGCCTGAAGGTTTCCGACGTGTCCCCGTGTTGGCCTGGGCTGTCCTGCGGACGTGGACGCTCCTTCGTGGGTTGGAAGCTCAGACGTCCTGAGACAGTTTCCATCTGAGGACGGGGAGCCTGGTGCCTTTTCTACAAGTGGCATGAGGTCAAAGGGATGCGGGGGAAGCAGGTGTCAACATCGGCTTCTAAGCGGTGACCGTGCCCGATCTTTACCACTTATAATCTGCCAGTGGGATTACGTTAAGTGTTCCGATTAAAGACAACGTTCTACCCCCTACCCTGGCCCGTTCAGCCACCTGAAATCACCATTGCCTTCCTTTCCCTTCTCACGGGTGGAGCCTGGCCCCTGTCTGGAGACCCTGCGCTTCCCAAGAACCCAAGAGATGCCTCCTTCCTGGTCACTTGTGAGAGCTCGGCCACCCTCACCGCACGCCTTCCCTAAACGACAAGGGCATCGCGACTCCAGGAGCTAGAGGTGAATTCCATGGGCAGCTGTGCGGGGTCACCCATCTCAGGCCTCCTTCAAGAAGAAACCTGCGGAAACTAGAAAAAGTTCCAGGCCTACCCAGCTGCACCCAGGACTGGGCATCTCATGCTCTGGCCTCTGGTACCCACCAAAGAACTGCTGGGTTTTGATTCCAGGCCAAACTTTTAATAAAGAAAATTCATCTATAGATGTTCTGCCATCAGCCAATATATTCAGTTATTGGAATCTGGGAGATTTAGTGGCAAGCCGGTTGTTTTATTTGCTCTCTGGATGGACCCATTTTTCTTGCGTATTTAATATCCTGGAGGATTATTTTCCCCAGCAAACAGTCAGAGACAGCAAATCCATTCTGAACCTATCAGGTCGTTCGTTATTTTGCCTTCTGGTGACTCAGAGCAGGTATTTGTACACTTGCTGTCTCCTATGCCGTTAAGGGGAAATTATGAAGAGTTCGGCCCATAATTGCAGCTGTAATTACTTAACAATCCCTGCCTGATCCTGCCTGGACAGGCTCCCATCATGGCTTCACACCGGGAATAAAGTCAGTGGCATCTTAGACTGTCTTATTGAAGTCAGGGCTGTTCTATGATGTAACCAGCTCCTGTCTCTCCCGGGGAGGATTTTGCGTGTGCCGGCTCCCTCCAAGGTAATTTGCAAACATGAAAGTAGGAAAATGCCTCCCACTTCTAAAGGTTTTAATTGCAGCTTGTCCTGCCATGGCTGTGGCAGTGGCCTGTGAGAGTCCTCTCGTTCGGGGAGGACTTGCAGCTAATGAGGCTGTAATTGAGGGTCAGGCGTTTCCTACCATCTCCCAGCCCACTTCCTCGTCTCAGTTCAGGGTATCTGGCGAAGGAAACCCAGCCGCAACAAGAAAGCAAGAAAGGATTTTTTTGGATTATTTTGTCTTGGGCTTGGCGAATTAAAAAAAAAAAAAACCCAAATCTTAAAGAATATGTTGGGTATAAGAGTATCACAGATGCTGGGAAGATGGGGCAGTCCAGAGCATACGGGTGATGGAGGAAGGGTTTAAAGGAACAGGAAAGAAGCAGTGATTCCTCCTTGGAGATGGGGAACGGGAAGCTTCCAGAAGGTGGGAGCTCTGAGCTGGGAGAGGAGGAGGGATGTGGGGGGAGCACAGGTGAAGGGGCCAAGGGGCTCCGGAGCGCCTTGTGCCCGGAGGTGGAGACCTGCTTGGTGAGCCCCACAGCAGCGTGTGGGCAGAGGGGAGAGGCTGAGGGGCGCTGGGGTCAGAGGTGGCCTGGGCCAAGCCCGAGGCGGCACCGTCCCCTCGCAGTGCAGTGTCTAGGTGGCCCCCAGCGTGCAGTAGAGACGTGGCCCCCGGTGCGGGGGGTGGGGTGGGGAAGGGTCCCAGGAGTGGCCCTTGACTATGTAAGGCCACCGCCCCTCCCCCAGGCTGCCCTGCTGGCCCACACCCCCAGCACTTTCCCAGGGTCCTCTGGCATCTCCCTCCCTCCCCACCCAGTGGTCCAGGGCCCACCCAATTTCTCATGGGCGAGCTGACTGCGATCCAGGGCTCCCAACAGTGGGCAAGCCCCGGCCAGTGGTCATTCTTTTCTGCTTCAGTGTGTTACTCCACCGGAGGGGCTGGAGAGGACAAGCGGGGCCTCCACCCTACGTCTCATCCCATATCTTCCCAGCAATTGGCCGGATCCCAAGGGCGCCCACTGTGACTAGCAGACACGGTCCCCACGCCCCCGCTGCCTCCTTGCCTGACCAGCTTGCTGTCTCAGTGGCTCCAGCTTCCGAGGGGCCCCGGGGACGGAGTCAGATGTTCTTAGATGTTCTCAGACTGACTCCGAGAGTACCAGTGCCATGAACGCCAGCTACACCCCCTCTAAGTGCCGCCTACACCCCTGCCTGGGGACCCGCCCAGGTTCTTTCCAGGACAAGTGATGGAAACTGAAAAAGGCTGTTTTGGAAACACATCAGCCCCTCTGCTCTCTGGTTTGGGTGCAGTGCCAGCTGGGCTGAGCTCACGGGGGCTGCTGGCTTCTCCCCAGGCCCACATCACAGCCCTGCTGTCCACCCTGCCAAGGAGGCCAGCCGCCCCAGAGCAGAGGGAAGGGCAGGGGAGGGAGTAGATGGTCACCACATGCCACACCCTGCCTTGGCATCTGGTGCCAAGGCCGGTCCTGAACTGGAGAGTTACTTTGACCTGTGCCTTCTCTGGCCATGTGAATCCCCAGGGCACTCCAGAACGGCTCTGTCCTGCAGAGACCTCAGGGCCCACTTAGAGACAGAGCCTGGCTTGGTATCTGCAGGCCTGGCCATGGTGGCCTGGGCTCCCCTGATGCACGAGGTTCTCTGTCTCCAAGGCTCAGGGACCCAGACCCCAGACAGGGCTGGCCACTCACCTCCTGGATCCCCAGTGCTCCTAGTGAGCGGACTGGCCAGAGAGGGCCTGGGTTTACCTTTGCCCACTTTTCGGCAGGGTCTCTGCGGATGGCCCCTGCCACGTTGGAAGCAGGTGCTTGTCCCAGGCTCCTTCCAGCTGTGTCTTGGAGGAGCCTGGCGGGGTGGGGTGGGGTGGGACTCCCAGTGGTGTAGCCCTCGGATTCAGATTCACCCAAGGAGTAGGGGCCTCCAAGCTGATTCTTGGGCTCCGACCCTTGTGGGGGATGAGTGCCTAGGGACCCAATGGGGCTTGTGTCCAGCCCGTGCCCTGTCCTCTTCTGAGAGGGGCACTCGCTCTGGAATACATCTGCAAGGATCTGGAAGTCTCGGTCATTTTTAAAAGCTTCTGAAATGACAAACGAAGCAAAAACATCTCCTAATATTTTTATTGTTCCTTAGATAACCGGATAGTACAAAGTTTCCCTCTTTTTTTACTTAAAAAATGTACTTTCCGCACACCGTTGCCCTCAGGAGCATTTCTTTCCCATTGGAAACCGATGTTTCCCTAGATGAGCCCTTCTCATCTGTGGTTACACTATTTAGATAATTTAACAAGAGGAGGATATTTCCTTTCATGATTAGCAACATGAGCTTGATCATCTCTCTATAAGGGTGAACACTGATGTGTGTGTGTTTTTTTTATTCCTCTTTAGAAACAAAAACCATCCACTTACTAATCCAAACTACGGCATTGCATTTACAACATTCATGGCATCAACTAAACAGACAAGTCACCACCTCGAGGAAACAACAGACGGACATTGCACGATGTATCTACGGGGTACGCGGATTCAAACGGTGTGGCACTGAGCCTGTCCACGCCACACACGCTGGCCACCGCTCTTGGGGACTAACTCGGGTCCACGGGCTACTTGGAGTCTCAGCACAGTGCATCTAAGACACAACACGTGGTCAAGGACGGCAGCGGTGATGAGATGCGAGTTACACTAGCCTACGTGGCCCCCTCGGCCGCCGAGCACGGCCCGGGGGAGGGGGGCTTCAATGAGACACGACACTCAGGTCCATCGAGCTGACCATGATCTACGGACAAGTCCATGCGATCCTAACAGTGGGTGGTTCTCAGTAAGAACTGGCCAACAGTCAGTGCCTTACTTCTTGAGTATGTTGACCAGAAAGGGGACCAGGGCGGGGGAACCAGGGAGCCCTGGGCTGCAGTTCCAGCCGCGTATACGGGGTCTTCTCCCCACACTGGCCGCCCTCTGGCTGGAGCTGGAGAAACACGGGGGCAACGCCGCCCCGTGATGCCGGAGTCCACGCTGCTGCTGCTTTTTCCGAATTAGCCTTGTTCGTCTCACCAATATTAATTTGGCAGCTGTTCCACAGGAATTTCCAGGTGGGTGGGGGACGCGGACCCTCGGATTCCAGGCCGGGGTGGGGGGGACGCTCTACAGTTCATCAGACCGGATGACGTGGAAGAGGGTGACGTTGTACAGGATCTGGTGGCCGTTGTTCCAGGCGTACAGGGCGCGGTCCTTGGGGTTGTAATCCAGCATGGAGATGTGCGAGTACTTGTTCTGGAAGGGGATGTCGATGTACTCGTAGGTAGAGGCGTTGGTTTGGTAGGCGTAGTGGACCTTGGTGCCCCCCGAGTAGCCGTTGGTGACGTAGAGGGTCCCGCAGATGATGAAGGCCTCACCGGCGCTGCGCTTGGGGTAGCTGGTGTTCCAGGTCTGCAGCACCTGCAGGGAGACAGGGTCCAGCTTGCTGATGACGATGTTGCCCGCGTTCTGGTTGGTGGCATAGACAGCCCACAGCCCGTTCTCGTCCACCATGAGGTCGATGTCCGAGTGGCCGCCCCAGGCGTAGTGGTACATGTTGTTGTAGCCGGCGTAGTCCAGGCTGCGCGTCTTGAGGATCGTCTCTGTCTTTAGGTCGAACCTGATGACGATGTGACTCTGGAACTTATTGAAGTACACGGAGCCGTTGTAGACCACCTGCCCCGTGCCGGACCAGGGGTGCGGGAGGCGGTGCGACGTGAAATTGTCCGTGGTCATGAAGGCCAGCATCGACCTGTACTCGCGGACAAAGCGGTTGTTGTGGTAGCCGTCCATGTACCAGACCTGTGGACACAGCGGACCCGTCAGTGGTGCTGAAGTGGGGGGACCCCTCCCGGGGAGGCATCCCCTCCTGGCCTCTTGGCATTTAGTGATTCGGCACCCAGAGAAGGAGCTGGAAGGACTGGGAGAGAACAGACTAAACAGGGTCATGTCCTTCCTCCAAACCCACGGGGTGCCTTTCACGAGGGGCCAGGGCTGTCTCCCCACCAGGGGAGGAAGCGTCCAGCCTGGAGAAAGGACACCACGCACAGGGGTGTGGGGACCGACAGCCTGGGACCCGCAGCCGCGCCGTGGTCGTGGCTGGCAGCCACCCTCTGCTGTTCCCGCCAAGCGGGTGGGGCTGCCCCCAGGCTGTGGGTCATCTGGGAAGGCTGGCCCTCCAGCAGCATGTGGCACCGCCCTCCAGCAGGACGCTGTGGCAGAGGGCACAGCCGCCTGGGCCCGCAGGAGGACAAGTGCCCACAACACCGGGCAGTCTGCAGGGATGGCCGTTATCAAGGTCGCCAGGAAGGGCGATGCCCGATATCCCAGGGGGCGCGTGCGTCAGGCCTCTCCTTTCGTCCAGGCCCTCACAGCAGGCCGGACTGAACCACCAGTCCAGCGGGGGGACGTCATTAATTTGGCACTTGGGATGCTCCGAGTGTAATCACTCTGTCATGCCCATTCCTGGGAAAGTGCCTCTCCCTGAGGAATCCGGGCTTCCAGAAGGCTCTGACTGCTCAAATCAACCAAGATAACAAACCCAGTAGAGGCCCAAGTTTGGGGTCACCAGAAGGAGAGCTTTCCGATGACTGTTTAAATGCCAGTTGACTCGAAAGCTGTCTAGACTTTGCACAAAACGCTTCAGTCATTTTCAACCAACATGGGAGCAAATTAGAAAGCAATGCAGTTAGTCAGAGGAAAATCTGCCGGGCTAATACCGTTCCCAGTGCATCTGTCTGGCAAGAAGGCAGCTGCTTTATCCGTCGAGGGCTCTGCCGGCTGCAGGAGGGATGAAGAATGTGGGAGTTTTCAGACACGGTATTGCACATGCGTTAAAAATTTAAAAAAATACCCCAAACCTGTAACCTCGTTCCTGAGACATCCATTCAGATGCTTAGAGGCAGATGTGCTTTTTGTTTTTAACAACATTTTTTTTAAAGACTGGGTCTCATCTGAGGCTTTTCATTATCCTTAGCCTCCGTCAGAGCAGCCCTCGGCGATGCGGGCCACGCATTAGAACGGGGCAAGCGCAGGACAGGGTGGAAGGTGTCAGAGGTCCGCAGGGTGATGTGCAGAAGCCCTGACATCTCGCCTCCTCTTGGCTACCTCCCAGACAGGGAGCTCACTGCTTCTCTCAAGACTTAGCTCAAGTGACAGCCCCCCTCTGCACCCTCTCCTGACCCCCCCCATCTCAGCTCGCTCTGCCTCCCCCACGAGTGGGTCTTTGATGGTGGGGACCCGGTTGGGTTGATGCATCCCTGGACCCCCAGGGATCAGCGCCTCCTTCCTGTGGGCAGAGCTGCGTGAAGTCAGCATCCAATTTCTAAGGATTTTTAAATCGCCTTTTCCTCCGATAAACTGGCAAATTGGTCACAGTGGGCAACACTTGGAAAAGGCAATTTAGGGTGGGAGAGAAAATCAGCACAGGTGCTAAATGTGTAACAACCAGCTCTCGGCCTGGAGGGTTTAGGCCACCAGTGAGCCCCTCTGTGCAAAAGAGGAGCGCATCACGGGACCCCCAGGGCCTGCGATGAGGGCCCACCTCTGACAGTGCCTCCCACCCCCACGAGTTCACTCTGATCTCACCTCAAATGCCTTGTCCTGCCCCGCCTGCTCCACGTTCCAAGGCTCAGATGGAATCCCGTCCCCTCCAGGATGCCGCCCAGAACCGCTGCATCTGAACCGCGGAGGCCTGGGACCAGGGTCCTCAACCTGGCTGGGTGCCCTGGGAGCTTTCACATCCCAGAACAATGACACAGACCTTGGGGGTAGAGCCAGGCATCGGCTGGTTAAAGCTTCCAGGGGATTCTAACGTTCGGCAGGGTCCCCGAGACCACCTGTTCCAAGTCCTCAATTCAGAGAGGCCCAAGGGTGAGGGTCTCACCCAGGGTCACACGGTCTGTTCACCAGAAAGCAGACTGCATCTCGCACAGGACACACCCACTGCCTGTCTTTGCTGGGCCACTTCCTCCCAGACCCCCGGGGCCGTCCTCTGAAATGCCCAACCGACCCCATAAAGCAGGTTCTGTTCACGGGCACAGACAGAAGGGGACAGCGACCTTCCACTCGCTCACTCCTGGGCTTGACCACAATGCCCGCTTCACCCACCACCGCCCAGCAGGATGCCTCAGGTGGCCCAGGTGGCCACGCGCCTCCTGTTCTCCACGTGATGGGAACTCGTTCCCTGCCCTCCGGGCGCTGGTGACCTCAGGGCCACGCTCCATGCGGGCTGCAGCTCCCTGTGGCCGTCGTCCTGCGGGAAGGACCGTGGGGCCCCAGGCTGAGGAGGGGGGAGAGCTGAGAACACACCGGGGGACAGAAGCCAGGGAAGCCCAAGGGAGAAAGGGGCCCTTGGGGCAGCAGGGCTCAGAGCCCCCCGCTGCGGGTGCTTCTGTCAGCAGAAGGAAGGCCCCCCGGGCAAGTGGCGAGAGGAGTCCCCGCGGCAGGTCTGAGGCCGGCGCGCAAGCTCCCCCAGCCACGAGGGTCCCTTTGCCAGAAGAGATAAAACAAAGCCACCTCCGGATTCTTTCTTTGTAAATGCCACGCCTTGAGTGGATGTGGCCTACCAGCTCACTGGAATCAAAACGCCCAACACCAGCTCCCCTGTAAGAAAACCTGTGTATTCCCACATCTTGACTGCATTTCGGTTCCACACGGTGGAGTTTACGGAGAACGTGGGGTTTTCTTAATTGTCCCTATTATTTTCATGTGCTTTTTAGTGAAGGAGGCCATCTCGGGGCGGGGCAGGGCGCTGCTGTCAGTCTGGCCCCATCTTACGTGATGCGGGGATGTACCCGGGAGGGGCGGAGCGGGGGAGGGAAGCCGCCCAAAGGGCCTCTGGCTTAGTAACGTGACCATGTCCTCCCCTCCCTTTGGCGGGGCAGGCATCTGTCACATGTCCTCCTGGCAGGGCCTGACCTCAAGGAGCCGGCACGGGTGGAAAAGATGCTCTGAAGGGAGCCCTTAGCTGAACAGGTGAGTGGGGAGGTGGGAGGATTCACTGGGGAGTGAGGCTTGAAAGGGGGGCGAGGTCAGCAGCCCCAAGACCGTCCCCGACCACACGAAACAGTGTGACCGTGCAGTTCGGATAATACGACCTTCAGGAAGACAGATTCCGTAGGAATAAAATACCTGGATGGCTGTGACACTGTTTAGATGACAGGGAAGGACTTTTAAACACTAAACTGAGCTCACTGCTGTTTGGGAAATAAGAGGTGTTCTAGTGATGAGACCACCCCTCTGAACAGGAACTTCCTGGGGGCCAGAGGCTGGCTGGTCCCCTTACCACTGTCTGATGTGAGCGGGCCTGGGACTTCTATGGCGGAAGCACGGCTGTTAAGAGGGATGGTGGATGCCGGACCTTAGAAGGGTCCACAGTCAGAGGTACGTGCCTCAGCGTCTTGGTCTCCCGGGGGAGGGACACAGCCTGGGGTGACGAGAGCATGGCTTCCGGAACTCTGGTGCCATCAGAAGCTTCTGGACAGGGTGGAGGACCACCGGAGCCCAGCACAGTGCCTGCACACAGGTGGTGCTTAATGAACGAGCTAACCTGGTTCTAACAGCTCAGAACAAAGGCAGGGGGACCCGAAAGCCCCTTTGAGGGCTCCCGGACAGGGGTCCCAAGGCAATTCCCCGCCCTGGCTGTTGGCCACACCCCTCTTTCCTCGCCCTCTTGGCCTCCTGCACTGAAGCTGACACTGATACATTTTTGTTTGGAGCGAGTTATTGGTCTCCTGTGTGGGATCAAAACTGGACGGAGAATGGAAAAGGTCAAAACAAAAGAAACCAGCTCCCTTCCAGGCAGGACCTGGGGACGTGTCACTTAGCAGGCTGTGAGTTGGTGGCTGTGCTGATCTCACGGCTTGGGGCAGGACTGCCGACTGCCCAAAGCTTTGGAGCAGGCCCCCAGGGTCCCCTGCCAGCGACCTGGTCCCCTCCCTCCCTCCCCACGCAGTCAGCTCCCACAAAGGCCCCCCTTCCGCCTTCCTGCTTGCACTCTGTCCATCACCAGGGCCCCCTTTCCTGGAGGGTGATCAACTCATCAAGCAGAAAAGAGATGTCTAATTTCCAAAAGCATCCATCACCACCTCAGCGGCTTTGCAAATGAACCTACATCCTCAGGGTACGGGGGATTCCAGGAGCCCTGATACGTGATCTCTGAGAAAAGATAATTTGACGAGCGCTCACTACAACAAAGGAAACTGACATCAACGTGGGGACCCAGAGGCACATCTGCGGTGTCAGATGGGGCGAAATCCTCTAGACCGGGGTTCGTCCTCTGCAGCACCAAGGTCATTGGTTCCAGCTCACGGATCCCAAGAGGGCTGCTGGGTCAGTGGGGTGTGTGTGGTGGGGCAGGCAGAGGGCGGGCAGGAGGTGGGGAGAAGGCAACGGCGAGGAGGGTGACTCGGGAGACTCAACCTGGAACATGGCGGTAAATAAATGGTTAATAAACCCACCGGCCAGCCTTTCCTGAGACCTTGGGCAAGTCACGTGACCCTCCCGGCCCTGCGTTTTCTCATCAACACAGCAGAGACAACTATGATCTCCGGCTGGAGGGCAGCCGTGGGACCAACCAGGCCAGGCGCAGGTGCGCTCAGCTGAGGGCTGGGCACACGTGTCGCTGCGTCCTCCTGTATTTCCATATAAACATCATGTGCTCAGGGTCTGCGCATCACCATCTTGTTTTCATGTCTGCGTTACTGTTATCATCACTGACATCTGCAGCAAAGAGCACACTCCTAACCACACTCGGAACCAAAGTGGTGTTTTCCAGGGGGATGCAGATGAAACTTAAGAGTAGTCAGGGTAAGAACTGGCCAATTAAATGGTGCATTGGTAATTAACTGGTAATTAATCGGCCAATTAAATTCTTAGAAAACTTCCGAGGACCAGCTAGCCGTCACCATTCAGAAAATAAAACACAAACAAACTTCACCCCCAAAATACCGGACCCGGTCATTTCCCGGGTTGGCAGCCTGTAGCCGGCCCCCTCCTTCCAGAACTCTCTGCCTGCAGACCCGGGGATGAGGTCTGGGAAGAGGCTGCTGGCCCGCTGGGGGGTGGGGAAGGAAGGGGAGAGACGGGGGTTCCTCCCACTGGAGGTTGTGGGATAAAAAGACAGACGCCCAGATCGCTGGAAAGCCCGTCATGGTCCCCCAGGCGTCTCCCCCAGAAGGAGAATGTGCCGCTTCCTGATCTAAACAGAAGCGATCACGCCGTCTAAAGGGTGGGAATGGGGCTGGGGGAGGAGCAGACCTCAGAAGTCTCAAGATCCCTCCCCACTGAAAATCCTCCAGACAAGGCTCAGAGGTTCTCAAATTCCTGAGCTCCTTTCTCAATCTGCCCAGAGGAAGAGTTGACGTTTTTTAAAGTGTTTATTTTCTAAACGTCCTGCAGGCAAGGGGCTGGGTAAGAGAGGCCCTGGACTGCCGTGACGGTTCTCTCCGGGTGCCAGCGGTCAGGCTGGTGGACCACCAAGGAACATCCCTGCCCACAGCTCCTTTCCTCCACCGAGAGCCAGAACCCTGGGCGTTCGGAACCTCCCTTCGCTGAAACGCTCCCAAAGGATGCTGTGGTGACGGACGGATGTTACCCGGGTCCAGTGGGCCAGGCGCCACCTTCCCAGCCAGCCAGCCCTCTGCTCCCCACACCCCGAAGGGACTCCAATGACAGAACGCAACGCAGCCCCCACCCCATCCCGATCAAGACAGACGTGCCGCTCGGTTGTCTCTCTCTCCTTTTATGAGGTTTTTACCCAGGGGTAAAGTCTAGAAAAAAAAGAACATGGCTTTTCTCCTAAATCAAAAAAGAACATGAGCTTCCATCAGCCATGAAAGGAATGGCAAATGGAACGCAAATGAGAAATCATTAAAACAAGAAGGCCTGACCGTGCTGTTCCTGAGCGGAGCGGGGCAGTGCTGTGAGCATGGGAAGGTTTCAGCCCGGAGGCAGCCCCTCCACTCCCAGAGGCAGAGCCACACGCGGGGAGGGGGTCGCAGTCGTCCTCAGACCCGCCCCGCGGTCTGTGACTCTGCCTTAGTACAGGGACCTCGGCAAGGGGCTTGGGCCTCTCCCCAAAGTCCCTGGAACCCCACCCCGGGGGCACCAAGTTTCGCTCGTCCACAGCCCCCCTGCCCCAGACCCAGATCCAATGAAGGAAGCACTTACCCTGTTATCACCTTCTGGGGCCAGAGGGTCCGTCATCCAGGACCCAAACCTCGAGCCGGAGGTCTTGATGGTCACGGGGTCACTTATGCCCGTCAGCTTGCCACACGCTGCAAGAGAGGACACAGCGCAGGGGAGTGAGTGCCTGGGCCCAGCCCCAAAGGCGAGAGAGGCCACCACCCCCTCCCCCAAGCAGAGAGCAACGGAGGCCAGGGCGGGTGGGGAGACGGAGGTGCAGCCCCCTGGGCCTCGGGCCGGGGGTGCCAGGGCCGCACCTCCCGATGGGGCGGCCAGCCTCGCACAGACGCAGTTTTCTCCTCTGGGAAGCAGGGGCGGCAGCCGCTAAGGACCTCCTAAGGAGAAAGTGCATCCGTGGTCCAGCGCAGGAGGAAGGGCGCTCCTTCCCCCGGGAGGGCCTGTGAGCTTCCCTGCAGGGTGACGGCGGGCTCCCTACTGCCTGGAGGAGGTGCCCAGGGGCCGGAGGGCTGGGATTTGAAGTCACTGACGGAGCAGAGAGCACGGGGGTGATGGCGCCCTCCCGTCGCACAGATGGAGGCGGGAGACGGGCTGGGATGCACTCGGGGCCACACCGACACTCAGGCATTCCCGACAGCCCAGCACCCTTGCCACTGCCCCTGATAGCCCCGGGCAGCCACCATGCCCAGCAGAAACCCCCTCCTGCCACCTGGATGCCACCCTGTGTGCGCAGCCCTGAAGCATTCCAGAATAAGTAAACTCAGCCAGCCTCAGAAGGGCAAAAGGTTCCTGAGCCTCAGAAGCCGACTGGCCCCTCGACGTAGGCAGTGGGCCCTGCCCTGCAGGGACGTGTGCCTACTGGGACGCCCTCTCTTTCTTCTAGGCCAGGCCTGCGTGTAACTCCCCAGCTCTGCCTGCTCTGGTAAACTGCCACTGTATTAGCAGATGTACAGGTCAGTCTGCAAAGTTTAGAGGAGACCTGCGCATTTTCAGAAGATTGCCAGTGACTTAACCCAGGGACCGTAGTTTAGCCGGGGGTCATCCCGCCAAGTGAGATGGCCCGGCCTCGGGGAGGGGCCCATGGCCACCTCTGCACTGTCTGGGGTGGCTCCCACTCTCTCCCCAAACTTAAAGTGGGGCAAGTAAATCCATCAGCATCATTGATCAAGACTGGAGAAGTGGACGCCCGGGACCCCCAGCCCAGTGCCTGGGGCCTCTGTCTCTCTGTGTTGTCAGGAGAGCTTGTATCTGGGCAACGCGGAGGCTTTGGACCGGGATTAAGAGCTGACTGCAAGCAGAAGAAAGGCGGCTTTACAGCCAAATTCCCATCAAGTCACGCTGCCCCGCTCCTAAGCCCCAGCGGTGCCGCTCCCCAGGCTGCTGCCTCTGGCCCAGATTCGAAAAAGGAACTCAACTATTTTTACTCGCCCATCCCTTCCCAGTGTATATTTTGCCTGTTCCCCTTTCAGGAGGAATTGCATACTTTCCCACTGAAATACTGTCCCCTCAAGGCTGGCCCTGTCCACACCCCCCATCTGAGGGAGGACAGACAGAGGACAAAGGGACTGGACATTACGTGCAGGTTAGCCAACATCTACTGCAACCAGAAGTAAGAAAAAAGTGGGTCCTTGGAAATCTCGCGAGAGCGTGTGTGCCCACGAGAGCCCCAGACCAGGTTCTCATCCCACGAGGGTTTTGAGAATTTGGGGTGGGGCTCCCTGAGGGTTCTGTCTGGAGGAGGGAGGGCCGGGGAGAAGCAGGACACTAGGCTCGTCTCCCCCCAGCACCCTTTTTGTTTCTGTGACCCTGGGGGGTTCTGGGCTGCCCCCAGGAGACAGCAGACCCTCCAAACTGGGTGGGAAATGCTAACAGGGGCCATCGAACACCAGAGACAGCCCATCTCCCTGCTGCCCAGAGGCCAGCAAAGTGCCCCGTGTGAATGTCCCATGCAGGGCCGCCCCACCGCTGAGTCAGGGACAGTGGTCCTGTCTGCCGCCCGGAAGGAGAAGTCCCAAGGCACCGTGGCCCCAAGGGTGTCACGGATCGGGGGCCCCGGGTGGGATGCCTGCTGGTGCCCCATCACAGGCACACTTCCCAGTGAGACGTCCACTCACGCCAACGCCCTGCCCAGCCTTTAGTGGCCACACCTGGCCTGGGACGACTTCCCCGGAAGGAGACAGACATCCATCCTTTACATCACATTCAGAAAGTGAAGCTGGCGGGTGAGGCCCGGCTCGGCCACCTGCCCAGCTCTACTCGCCTCTCTACCTTCGCTCAGGCCCACCCCCATCGGGACAGCCAGACCCCCACCCCGCTCCTGCCCTCCTGTCTTGTGTGGCTGGACCCACACCGATGCCTCTGCAGAGCCTGCTCCCTTCTGGACGGCACCCACCCTGCCTCCCCGACCCAGGCTGGGCCTGCACACCCCCTGGGCGTGACCCCGGGCGTCCGGGTCTCATGGCCCCAGGCAGGACGCCCCTCCCCCCCGCAAGGCTCAGCCTGGGGGAGCTGTCCAAAACGAATGAATGAACGAACAAATGACTCACCTCTCAGGAACTGAGAGGTATAACTATCCATCTCCCAGAAAATCCTCATCAGCCCACTGCTTTGCCACGTAACCCGCCAGAGGGGACGGGGGTGGGGGGCAAGGTGGGCCGCCTCTTCTGAGGGCGGCTTCCTTATCTGCCAGAAGGATACCCACCCCAGAGGCGGTGGTGAGAATTAAAGCAGTTAACCAGTGGAAAGCTTCTAGAAGGATGCCCGCCGTGCATAAGTGCCCAGTGAGGCCAGCGGCCATGGATTCACACGGAGACTGTGGCCAAGTCCAGGCCCGGGGCTGCCCCGGATGGTCCCACTGCGTCCGGCCCACACGTGGCTGCAGAGAAGCGGAGACCGTCTGCTGGGGGGCTGGGGGGGGAGGGAGGAGGGCGTCTGCACCAGCCCCAGCCCCGCCCTGCCCTGGGCTGAGGTCTCCCCCAGTGTACCCTGGCCCGAGGGGCTGAGCCCACCCTCCCCCAGCCTCTCGGAGGGAGCCTTAAAATCATGGATGAGGCAGCAGAGAAGGGCCCAGCTGGCCCGTGAGGCCTGCTCGGCCAGCTCCTTGCTGTGGGCTCGGCTCTCCACTGGGGATGGAGGCTGCCCGCCCCGCTTGAGTCACGGAGTTATTTTTGGTTCTCCATCCAGACTGGCTCTGCCAAGACCTCGGGAACTGTCAGGATCTAAAAAAGCCCCACGGCAGAGCCGCGAGGCAGCGTCTTGGCACGTTCCGTTCACGAAAGTGTCCCTCTCTTGTCACGAGCGCTCGGGCTTCATGGATGGGGAGGGAAGGGAAGCCGAGCAGGTCCATCTCAGAGGAGGCTGGGCTCCATGCACAGCACCCTCAGCTGGGAGGGCCCTGAGAGCCCAGGACGGGTCTCAGGAGGGGGGCCGCCTGGCAAAGCTGGGAGCCTGAACAAAGCAGCCTCCGCAGATGAAATCCTCTGGTTCCTGCTATTCCTAGAAGGAGGCCACTTCTGAACAACAGCCGGAGTGACCTCTGACAGGAGCCTGAGCAGGCCCCAGGGCAACATGGCGCCAAGGAACCGGGCCAGAGACCAGATTGAGGGGGGCTGACTGCTCCACAGCAGGCAGACGGGTCCCGGGACCGCCCAGCCTCCAGGCCCATCTGCCTCGGTCCCAGCTTGTAACCCTAAAGACTGGAGAGAGTTGCAGAGCTGGCAGAGCTGGGAGCTCAGACAGACACACGTCCTTGCAGAAGAGCTAACCGGGGACGGAGCAGCCTCCCTGCAAGCCCAGGCCCAGAGCCCCGAGGGCCGCCCTGGACGCCCATCTCCCCTCCGCACCTGGGCAGGGACGGGGGGCTCTCGGGTCCCCTCCCTCCTCGCCGTCCTAGTCGGTGCCCTGCAGACTGAGACACCCTAAACTTCCCTCTCAATCCTGAGTGTAAATCCGCATGGGCTAACTTATCCACTGTCCTTGGGAGCAGCTCACTCACCCGGCTCCATCCCGGTCTCTGGGGAGGAGGTAAGGGCCCCTCTCTCTGTCTCCTCGACCTTCCCTACAGAGGCCTTTAGCACCGGAGAACCAGGGCGGTCCAGCTGGGGGAAGCCCTGAAGTCAGCCAGTTCCCCTCATTTTACAGACAGGACTGAGGCCTGACACTAACGGGCATGTGACATGCCCGGGACATGTGCATGAGTACGAACGACGTCCTGCACTGGATCTTAAGTCTCTGCTTTTGGCTGGTCTGGCTGCCGGGGCATCTGATTCTGCAGCCTCTCCACGGAGTGGCAGTGAAAGCTCGGGGGACGGGGTCGCCGGGCAGCTCTGCCTCTCCCTTGCCTTGCCCGGGAACCAGAGGAACTTCAGGGGAGCCGTGGGGACCCCCCTCCCTTCCGGATGATGCCCGAGAGGTGCTGAGCCCAATGTCCAGTTCTAGAAATCAGATTTTCAGATTCATGTTCTGGCTGGGCCATTAGGAGAAACGTACAATGCCATCAAGAGAGGGATTTAAAAATGGAAACGGAAAACCAATGGAACCTGCAGTCCTTGTTTTTTGTTCCCTGTGTATGGATTTGTCACCAACATCACTTTGAAGAGAGCAGAGACCTAATAAGAGCACTTTGGGGAAACTGCAGGGAGACCCTCTTGCCCATCATTACACCAGGAAGGTAACCGAGATGCTGTTCACCAGAGCAAAAGGAACCTACAGTCAAGACTTCAGACCCAGGAGACAAGAGGCGGAGGTGGCGGGGGGCCCGGGGTGGGCGGGGGAGGCCGAGGAAGGAACTGCCGACCTCTGAGACACTGCATCTTCAGAAGTCCTAACCGCCCAGGACAGCATCAGTGCTGGCTTCCCCCGTTCTATGCTCACCGGCAACCTCCCAGCAAAGAAACAGGCTGCTAAGACAGTACCTATTTGCAAGGCTAAAATAAAGACTAAAATAAGCAGCCACAGGATATTGGTTGGGTCTTTAAGTTACGAGCTTGAATGAAAACCCAGGAAGCGGGAGAAGCAACAGCAGCCATATCTACGTATTAACTATTGTCTGTCTACCTACCTACCTACCTACCCACGTATTACCTGTGTCTGTCTACCTACCTACCTACATACGTATTACCTGTTGTCTGTCTACCTACCTACCTACCTACCCACGTATTACCTGTTGTCCGTCTACCTACCTACATACCTACCCATGTATTACCTGTTGTCTGTCTACCTACCTACCTACCTACCCACGTATTACCTGTTGTCCGTCTACCTACCTACATACCTACCCATGTATTACCTGTTGTCTGTCTACCTACCTACCTACCTACGTATTACCTGTTGTCTGTCTACCTATCTACCTACGTATTACCTGTTGTCTGTCTACCTACCTACCTACCTACGTATTACCTGTTGTCTGTCTACCTACCTACCTACCTACCCACGTATTACCTGTTGTCTGTCTACCTACCTACATACCTACCCATGTATTACCTGTTGTCTGTCTACCTACCTATCTACCTACGTATTACCTGTTGTCTGTCTACCTACCTACGTATTACCTGTTGTCTGTCTACCTACCTACCTACCTACCCATGTATTACCTGTTGTCTGTCTACCTACCTACATACCTACCCATGTATTACCTGTTGTCTGTCTACCTACCTACCTACCTACGTATTACCTGTTGTCTACCTACCTACCTACGTATTACCTGTTGTCTACCTACCTACCTACCTACTTATTATCTGTTGTCTATCTACCTACCTACCTATGTATTATCTGTTTACCTACCTAGTAACCTTCTTATCTATCATCTAACTACCTACTCACCTACCTACCTACCTATCATCGGTCTAGCTGTCTCTTTACCTAGCAATCATGTCTAGCTATCGTGTTCTACCTACCCACCTGCCTACGTGTCCCATCACCACCTACTCTATGCTGGGCACAGTGCGCAGCCCGTGACGTGAATCGTGTCTGTGGACTCACACAGTGACCCCAGGGCACAGGGACTCCTACACCTTCAGCTTACAGACGAAGAGGCAGCTGAAATGCAAAGTGGTCAGTGCCTTGGCTGAGCCACAGGGCCATCGAGTGGCACTTTTACCACTTTAGGACACCGCTCTCCCCAGATGGGGGTTCTCAGTTCGGTGTTCACCCACATCACCCACCCGAGTGCTGGTGAAAGACGGATCCCCGCCTACCTGCCCGAAGACTCAGCAGGTCCATCTACAGGTCAAGGTCTTTGTGAGCGCAGAAGTGACTGCACTCAGTGGTGGAGAACAGGGCTCCGGGGGTCTCTTCATCCTCTCTCCTTACTCCCAAGTTGGCCATTTCAGCGGCCCAAGGGGAGCCATGTGAAAGCCCCAAGATCCCAAGCCCTAAAGTGAATTCACTCAGCTTCTAAAGATAGGTCGAGTTCGGACACGAAGGCTGCTCGTCTGGGAAGGGCAGAATCCTCCTGGAAAGACCCTTAGCTTCTCATCAGTTGTAACTTTGCCCTCTGAATTTCCACTTGGCTCCTTCATCCGTTAATCGGAAAATGTGAAGGTTTAATCTTGGTTTCCCACTGGTTTCTACACGGTCTGTCTACTGGGGAATAAAAATGCTACTGTGGAGAAATAAGTAACAAAGAAACCCCCAGGGGCCGAGAGCCCTCAGGGGGAGCGTTGGAGGGTCTGGAGAGAGGTGACGGGAGCTTAGAAGGAGCTTTATGGGTAGAAACCCAAAGACAGTGCCCACCAGAAGTGTTCATGTAGTCCCATAACCACTGATAAGCCTGATAACCCGTAGCATTTCAGACATTCCCGCTGACTCCTGAATGCTGAAATGGGAAGAGCTGGTAGAGACCGTCCAGCCCAGACCCCCTCCCCGGGACTGTCCCAGGTCACCCAGACCCCCTCCCCGGAACTGTCCCAGGTCACCCAGTCCCGGACACACCAGGACGTGGGCGCCATGAAGCACATCTGAAAAACCGCAGCAGATAATCCCTCATGTGATGCAAGTGTACAGATCACAATGGATTCGTCCTAATGCTCCGAACATCGCTCACTGCCCTCTCCCAGACTGGGGAGCTTTACTAGGGCACCTAGAACGGCATTAAAAATAAACTAGATGTGGGAACCTGTTCAAACAAAAAGGTTGGCTGACTCGACCTCCTTGCCCTTTGAATGTTCTCTCTCTCCCACTTAATAGCAATGGGGATTTTTTTTTTAAAGTATTTGTTCTTTTGGGATGTTTTAAGTTTAAAATAAGGCATTTGTAGTGTGTGGGGGGTGGGGGATGAAAAGGGAATCAAGTGAAAGCATCAGATAAAACCTAAAGGAAACTTTTTCATAAAGCAGAATTACCCTAAAAGCTACCCTAAGTTAGTCTAAAAAGTAAACCATAAGAAAATGAACCACCTCTGTGTTAGAGAACAGTGGGTGGAAGGGCCAGCCAATCTTTCCTAAGAAAACCTGAAAATGGAATTGGGATTTAAAATGTGCTATTTAAAAGTGGACTCCGACGCTGACACGTTAAGATTTGCTAAAGCAACTAACACGAAAGCTGATAAGGCGAGTGGGTATCAACCACAAATAAGATTCCGAAGGAGCCCAGGGGCCGCTGGCTCCGGTCCCACCCCTTCCAGGCATCAGGAGGGACTCCCTGGCTTGTTGCGAATGGCAAGTCTTCCACTGTGACGTGATGGATTTCTCTGCATGATTCAGTATCTCAGGGAGTTCCATCAGCCCTCGTTCGCAAGCTGGAGGGAATCTTAAGGTGTATGTTTACCGCTCTATGAAAATTTGTGTCTTAAAAAGTCACCCAACACACACATACACACGCGCGCGCACACACACACATTCTTCAGATGGTAGGTAACATCTAACATCATTTTTCCAGATGTGCGGCTCAATGGGCTCTGTGAGCTGGCCTCTGCACAGGATTGGACAAGGCCCTAGGACAGGTGGTGCTTACTTCCCTCGGCTATCTGTCAAGGTAGCCCTACCCAGGAGCCCTAATCCAGCCATTGCTCGCTGACGCCAGGCAGGCGCTGTCCACTTCAGCACCACTCCCTAAGCCTGAGAGAGCTGAGTGGGGATGTGGGCGGTGCAGTGCCCCGCCCCGCAGGGTTCTGGGCCTACCTAGTTTTTGCATGCATGCACGGAGCCTTTCTTCAAGATTGGACACTCTGCTCTGAAGTTCATCGTAGTCATAGGCGCCAATTTCTTCTTGCAGCTCGTTAAGCACTGACGTCAGATTCTGGACCTCCTCTTTAAACTGCAATACCAATTTGGCATCGGCCTTGTACTCTTCCAACACAGGTATCAAAGGCCTAAGTTCATCCATTTTCGCTCTTATCGCCTGCAAGGTTAAAATAAGCTGGGTTCAGTGCGATGCGTGCAAAAACTTGTAACACCCTGCCTTGGCCTGGCTTCTCCCTAGGTGAGGGAAAATGTCCACACTCCCGCTTTATTTACAGATTGATTTACTCTGGCCCACAGGAGTTAGAAGAGCATATTAAACAGTCTTCAGAACACCAACATATTTGGGAAAGGTCTTTATTGTCAGTTTAGAATGCAACATCTGAAGGTTACATGCTTTAAGTCACATACACAAAGTTTCTTTGTTTTTGTTTTTGTTTTTTCAAAAAATGCATTGACAAGGGTTCAAACTATTCATGAAATGCATCTACAGTCGCATGCAAAAGAGATCCTGGTTGTATTCAAGGTTCCTTAGGGGTATGGTGCTAAGTAACGGGAAATAATAGTAAAAATGCAGGGTGCAAAAAAGCTCTCTGGCCCTCTGTCATGGTTACATGGGAGTGGACTGCCTCTTCAGTCACTGCAGCATTGAAAAAACTCTTTTAAGTTAGCCCTGCAAGCAAGAAAATGAAAACTGTTGAGGAGCTATAGCTTACTAGCCTGCCTTAAACAGACAGCCATTAACAGACAAATATCTTCACGGTCACTTAAAAAGAAAAATCACACTTCAAGGCTAGAGTCAGTCCAGACAAACTGCTTTCACAGCTATGTAGATGCCCTCACAGCAACTTCTGCCACAAGTGTTTAAGGCAATTAAAGTGTGGTCAAAGGCAAAGGGCTTGCTTTTCTTCCCTCAGAGCCACAGTGCCCCAGATTTGGGAAGTGGGACAGAGTGCTTGCAAAGAGGAGCTAGCCCACAGATGCTGAAGACACCCTCAGAGGAATGTGAGTCTACCCCAGAGAAGGGAGTGCTGGCCTTACGAGGAGAGACGCAAGCTCTCTGGGGTCGGGCAGGTCAAAGTCTCTTTCCGAGAGAATTCTTGATGACATGTCTGAAGCGAGGACATGTCCACCTGCACCCACCAAGAGCGATAGGCTCACTTCTCCTCAACAGGATCAACCTGCTATTATTTTATTTATAATATAGGTTTATAACTTCATTAGCTTGCGATTTCATCTATATAACGTATTGCTTTTAAAAGTGAACTAGTCCTTGCTGCATGCGGGGAGCATACATCAAAGGAGAACATTAGCATAGAAAGGGCAGGAAGGCCTAGAAGCATCAGCGGTTTCCAGTCCAGCGGGGCTGTGTGATTTGACCCATTCATTTACATCTGGGCTAGGTTTCTAATTAACATGCATGTATACCTTAATTAAGGGGCATATAATTTGTCAATTTAACCATTCTGAAGCTGAGTAAACTCTAGGTGTATATATACATATTTGTACATATGTATATATAGTTTTAGGTCAAACCAACTCTGGCTTTAATGTCCAGAGTTACATGGAGAAAAGGAACACTTACTGGGAAGTGAGAAAGATGTTGGCATCTCTCTTCCTTCCCTGCAAATCTACAGTGAGCCTTGTCACAGCTAAATTAGGTCAGATGTGAAGAATTGCCCTGAGTGATCCCTGCTCAGAAATGGCTGTAATCAATTAAGCTAATCCTTGGCTAATGTGATTCACCTGCAGCAGCTGTTGAGTCGGGAAGGACCAATCATGTGCCTTCCCAGCTAATCTTCAACTTGGCTGGAGAAGCTGGGACCTGGGGCCCTGGCCTCAGAAGCTAATAGGTGTGAAAACCGCACCTCAACTCTGCCCCTTTCAAGGTGAGTTTCGCCAAACCAGGGTGAGGGCAGGTGGCCTCTCTGTGTCCAAGGAGTGCTGCCCTTTGCAAGAAAAAGAGCATCCTTGCTGGGTTCCTTCCTGGCCTCAAACTGCTATTCTGGAAGGAGAGTGGGAGCATGAAGGGGAATCATGCAGTCTCAGAGAAGGAGGAGGGGGAGG